TATATATATATATATATAGCATATTTTATATATATATATATATATATATATCATATTTTATATATATATATATATATATATATATATATACATAGCATATTTTATATATATATACATGCATTTATATATATATACAGAAGAATAAGAATAATTTTCTTTTCATAATCACGCTGAAAAAATGATGAAGTATTAATTTAAGTTAGTTTCCTGTTTAACAAAAGAATGGACCTACATGAATAGCGATTATGAATTAGAAAGTTAAATTCTGTTTGACATACACACGTATATACAATAAATTCAATGAATAATGTATTGTTTATAATACAAAGCTTATTTTCGTATTTTTTTATATTTTATATTGAATATTTTGCGCTCACCATCAGACGGATGAGGATCAACCACATGCGTATATACAAACATTTGTATTGAAGCCAGTGGGTGCTAGTTTTTTTGTGCAACACGACATATTCCGGCTGTCATTGCACGACGTGTAGCGTATGAAAAGGCAAAAAGAAAAGAAATAGAAAATGCGAAATTCATCAATATGGTCAATGCAGAGTCTTTACTTTTGCTTCTAATTCTAAATATGTCCCATTAAAAGCTTATTTGAATATCAATATGTCTCATTACTACAAGACCATGCTAAAGATATTGATGAGCGTTGCAAAAGTGCGTTCTTGTCGATACAATTCTAAATTTTAAACCACAAAAAGAAAATTTAATCAACTAATGTAAAAAATGAAAAGAAAAATATGAAAACTCAGGTTATTGATTTTAAAAAGTAATAATTAAGTCTTTATATTCATATTATTCGCAATTACTCAAGTTTGCCACCATTAATATTATCATTGCTTTAAAACAATTTTAAATTTAACGGCCTTTCATATTCATATGTCTCAAGTTTCCTTACGAGCATGATAAGTTCGTTTATAGTGTTAACAATAATATTCTCCCATATCTCAGCTTAATAAGCATTTTTTATTCATATAAACATTATTGTTTTCTATTTTCAGTGCGACGAAGATCCTCCACATGCTTACTCTCAAATTTTTGTTTTGAAACCCATGGGCGGTACATTTTTTTGTGCTCATGACATTTTCCGTTTAAATATACATAACTCCGTCTAAGTCAATGCTCCTTCTTACATTTAATATTTTCCTCACTTCTTACATCAACATGAAATAAAAAACAAAAAAATTATCTAAAAATTCATAGTTTTTTTCTTGGGTGTATTTATATTTAATAATAAGTACAAGTACCAGAGCATAAATGTCATTACCAGAATTAAGGAATTCAACAATTATATAATTAATTGTGCCCTTTTTTAATAAATAAATAAAAACGGTGAGAACAAAATAGAAGCATAACTCGTTGATAGAGGCTATTTTTCTTTTTTGGTAAAAGCTTCGTTAATAATAAAACTTATGTATAATTATGAAGATATATGAGTATAACTATTTAAATGTATGGCAAATGAGATATATTGGTGATATAAATCTTTGGATTAATTTGTTTTTAACCCTCCGTGTACTTCTGTCTGGTTAAAGGGAATAACCGATTTAAGTAGCTAACCGGATAAGTAGCTATCACAGATATTTAAAGACAGAGTCCATATGTGAAACGGCTTAAATATTGATTCGAAATCTTCTCAAACGGTTGTTACGTGCCGTGGAAAATCCTTTCAATGAACGCATATTTCGATGAAAACTTCTTTGATTTGAAACTATGGAAACACGGCCGTCAACATTACCGCGATGGTCATCTAGAACAGAGCACGTCACAATTACACTTAGCACAGCAATCACCTGCAAACCATGTAAGGTAATAGGGATCTCCAGAGTGAAATAATATAATATTTACCAGAGTTATAATTATGACGACCGTATAAGTATGTATACCAGCTGTAGGCTTATTGTCAATATCTCTTAAAGCCTTCACAATAAGCTCATGTGTAGGGTTCAATTCCAAAGCTAAGCGATAATAATGCAACGAACCTTGAATATCACCATAAGTCTTGAGAATTTCGCCCAGCATATAATATTGCGGCCATACTGTGTGTGCGGGGCTTTGAAATTCAATAGATCTAAACACATTTAAAATAAAGCTCAATAAGCGAATAATCTATGCATGTGAACTTACCTACGTGTCATATATATAGCATCGTCCAAATACTGTAAATTGTACAACACTTTACCTAAATTGAACATGATTTCTGACTCCGTAGGAGATATATCCAAGGCACGACGGAAACATTTGACTGCCTCTATAGCATCCCCCACAATACGCCAGTAGTTGCCAATATGGTGATATACTTTCGCTGAGTGAGGATTATCAAGTTTCGCTTGTTTTAAGTGGGCTTCTAGGGCGGCTAAATTGAAATTCTTATAAGCATGCTTATCATGATTGCGCAAAAAGAAATATGCTACCTAGAAAAAAGATATATGCACAATTATAGACACGTACACAAAGTCAAGTAGAATATAATTTTTTGATCCTACTTCTGGTTCAGGCATTAATTTCATTTCCTTATGTCTATAGTGGTCTCCTATATTTGTGATATAATCATATTGCGTATAATTAAGAAGTTGCCCGCAATCTAACGATTCTTTAATTTTTAAACGTGTTTTAACTACTTTTTCATTATGTGCGTGTTCCATTCGTTGCTCTGCAGTCAAATTGCTACTAAAACTTTCCGTTGAGATTTTACGGCCGATAGACATTTGTATCGGAGAATGTAGTATTGAGGGCTCCAGTGATTGTTGCGACCAGTCAACACCATCGAAAATGCGGTTAGAAGTGGCAATTATGTAAAATACTGCATCTTGTTGATAAATATCTGATGTGAGATCAAGATCATTTATAGTCTTGTTATCTGCGAAGTAAGAACCTTTATTTTTCGCTCCAGTGTCGTGAAATTGTATTTTTCCGGTAGCCGAATTCAGTTTCCACCTTGTTGAAGTTCTGGAATTCGTTAATGTAATCAGAGACCAAAGGGCTGTCATAGCCAATGTCGCTTTCAATATGACCTTAGTTTGTATCATTTCTATTTATGCAAAATTTGTCAGTTGCATATATAATGTGTACTATTGACGTGACGACCACCAAATTTTTGTTGCTTTGGTCTTTTAATCCATTTTTAATTTGCTTTCATAATTATACTTTGTAATCAAAACCTAAAATAAAAATTTGTTACAAAATTTTTTTACAACTATCGAAAATTGCTGTCAAAACAAGTACATATGCCGTCTATATATAGATGCACTCACGCATAATTTCATTACAAATAGTTACCAGACATTTAACAAAAATCTAAAGAAAATTCCATCAAGGTAGACAGCATTAAAGTTGTAAAGAAAATTTTCATGTTCTTATAAATTAATATAAGCCAAGCTAACAAGATTTACTAAAGGAATATATAGAAAAAGAGATTTCCAGTTATGGTCTGTTATAATTTTCTGCCTCCGCGATCGGAAGAAAATTGTATACTACATTTACATTTTGAATTGTAAAATTCAGAAATACACATTAGACGTTAAATTTTTGATCAGCATGACCTTCGGATTCGATTAAATCTTTATCATTGCTTGTGTGCGCAAAGGGTATGATGATCTATATGATAATATACTATATAAAATTTTATACATATATTTAATATGGTTACCTGAAAGTTTAGCATAGAAACGGTCATATTTAGTTCACAAGTATTCCGCAAATACAATAAAAAGCTACTGTTATAAGCTACAGCAGATATTAATATTAAGATTTGTAGATATACGCCAAGAACAATTTCGATGGCCAGTTTAAAAATGATGCTAACTAATTCACAAATATGACGGCTATTACTTTCTAAAGGTGATGTCAAGGATACGTGTATATGACTTCTTTAGCTCCCTGTTTAGTCGTTGTTCTGAAATGCCCTCCACGCGATTTTTAAAGATTGAATTCTTTCGCAATATCATTTTCAATTGTAGGTGAAAAAGACGGTACATCGGCTTAATCGTTTTACAAAACAATATTTTTCATTCTTGTTGTATATAATTTTTTTAATTTAATATCCGTTTTACAAACACATGCACATTGAACCGAATCCATCAGCTATAGCCGATTATTTCCGCAAAATTTTAGATCTTAGATTTTTTTCTAATATGTGAAAATAATACAAAAATGTATTTTTTATTTTCTCTTTGTTTTTGGATACGCCAATGATTGTATTTTAAGATATTTTGAACTGCTTTCGGCATCGAAATCCTTTTTCTGATGTTTTGGAGTAATGAAATAAATTCTTACAGTAACAAGAAAAAGACATTGAGTGCTAGCAACACAGACTATCGGCTCTATTTTACGCAATATATATAATATATTGCATTTATATTGCGTTCTGTAGCTGATTTCAGGATGTCCATAGGATTAGTTGCCCCTATTGCAATATTTCTAACAAAGGAAAAGCTAAGGAAGCCACAAAGAATTTGCTCTATAGTGAGAGTTTGTCCATAATTGCAGTTTGGGGAAGAAGACTTCTTCAAGGTCCACTGGTGAGTTGCAATTGTATCGCCAAGACGAATCCTCGAAAATGTTTTCATCTTGATTTTTTCAATGTTTGTTGGACATAAAAGTGGAATTAATTAGAGGTGCAGAAACAGTATACTTCGCCGCTCGATCAACCTGCTCATTTGCCAATAATCCGACTGATATGACTTGGTACCCAAAGCAGTTCAATTTTTTCGGCGGATTTTGTAATGATATTCCTTAATTTGTGGATGCTGCCCCATCTCGAAGTCGAAAGATTTCGTATAGCTTTTAATACAGACAAACTGTCAGTCACAGTGACGGTTTTGAGTTTAACTTTATGAGAAAGGTTCGTAGCGTGAAGGATAGCTCTGACTTTGGTTGTGAACTTTGAAATACTTTCGTGAAATATGTGATTAAGAAGAACCTCTCCTGAAGCATCTACCACGGTACAAGGAGGTGGCAGACGTAAGGATTTAGAACCATTCGTATAAAAAAGATTCCAACTGTTACTCTCCAGTATTTGGGTTTTTTCAGCAATTAGATTTCTGAACATATTGGAGTGTCGTCTTTCTTGTACATAGACAGCGAAATGTCAGAAGGGTAGCCTTTCAAAACTCACGGAGGTTTAAGATCAAAATGGCGGAAAACTTTCGAGGGAACGTTCAATTTCTTTGCGATATATAAACAGTAGTCAATTGCGGATGGCGACTTATTATCTTGGGAATAATAATTTTTTTTACATCTTCACCGATAATAGATTTGTTTGAATTAGGACGATTGGGGACGATTTCAGCTTTTAATTCTTAAAGACTGTTTTGTATAGTTAAGAGTCCACTTTCAAGTATCATATTGTTAATGGGCGTTGTCCGAAAAGCATAGTATACTGATATTAGATTGGCCGCTTTTGCCGTAAATTATCAAATCGTTATTAATCTTGCTTAAAACAACAAATTTGGTGAGATAAGCAAAGTGCGCATGTCTTTTCCAAGCGACGCGTTGTATTAAAATCCTCTCTGTTTCAAATGGAATGTTAATAATTTACAAATTTTTTTTGTAATTGATAAAATTAAGGGTTTAATAAAATCAAAACTTATAAACATTATGCTCTTGTAGAGAGATTGGTCTATGCACGTGTATAGCTCGTATGGCAAACGTAATTATCAATTTTTAAAGTCTCTTGCTGTGAAGTAGCGGGTTTGCAAACGAAGAGTCTCCCAAGACAATTGGTTTTCATGTGAACAAATTAACATAGCGGGCGGCACTACATTAGGGTTCAATTGATCCTTTTGGTTCTACTTAATCATGTGCTTATCATAATTTATTTAAGAATGTAATTTCTAATATTTTGAGTGCTTTTAAATTTTAAACAGAGTAAAAAACGAGTAAGAAAACTAAATACGGTCGGACCGAATCTTTTATAGCCATAATCATTATCCTAAAAAAGAAACAAAAGAAGTAAAAGAACAAAAACGTCGATTAATTTATTCCTAGTATTTATTGAAGTGATTGGATGAGTACACGGAACCCACGTTACCGTTCGCATGAAAGCTCGCATGAAATGAAGAATGTTTCGCAAAAGGCAACCATAGGTTGAATGCAATGGCGGTGAGTTAATTTATATATATACGTTTTTGCGAATACACATATGAAGATTTTATTCGTAAGGTTTGTGACCAAATGAAAGCTACGCCAGTAAGCTTTTGATTTCGTGGATCAAGGCAAACTTAATTTGAATCGAATAAGTATCTTCTGCCCTTTTACATTGAATTGTATTCAAATAAAAGATATAAAGAATAAAACTGCTTTAGGTTGGTTCGTAAAAATGAGAAAGTTGGCACTTATATATATGATGGAAAACTGGGATTGAACTGCAATTCATTTTAAAAAATTATACATTCCTTATAGGTAAACTAATATGTTAATGTATTAATATATTATATAAAAATCAAAGTTTTCTTAACACAAAAAAATATGAAATACATGAAAGTATTAGATTTCATTTTCATTATACTTTCGTTATTTATTTATAGTACAGTAAACAAACCACAATCACAATCCCTCCAAGAGCCAAAACAAATGCATTGTAGTAAAGAATAGTGTGCGCAATAACAATGAAAAAGTATCAATTAAATTTGTAATATAAAATTCAAATGTAGATCATTTTAATACAAATTTTACATCATGTTTGTCTTTCTTTACGTTTATCCAATTTTGGTTGGATCATTTTAGACCGATGAACGTCAAATTTGCTTGCTATGTTTTCGAAATAAATTTCGAATAACGAAGGCCCTACATAACACAAACGTCCAAATGACGGTTACCTAAATAAACATAGATAATCTGTGGGAAGATTTCTAAAATAACACGCATCGGTTTCTTTAAATTCTGACTTAAAGAAACAAGGAAGTCAAATAAAAGTAATATGATATTTAAGATTTAATGCGTGGCCAAGCATCCGTATGAACCATTTCACGTTGAAAGCTATTTATATTTTCAGTGTTAAATATTTAAATTTAATATTTTGTTTTTAATAACCTTTTTCGGGTAAGTGAATAAAAATAAACGAAGCAAATACTGAGTTCAAGTTTTATTATTAAGACAGAATACCGAGCTGGAGTATAGTATAGAAAGGATAATTCCAATTGTGAAATCTTCATTATCGGAATTCGTTTTTCCAACAAAGAAAGAGAGCAACCTAGCACACAATCTGATCACTTTAGTCGTAAAGAATTTTTGCGAAAGTTAAACATTATTGAGAAATTTCTTTCTAGACAGCATTAGTCACGTTTGCGATTCTATTTTCGTTTTTCGTTAACTATTTGTCGACTGTTGTTGCAGAAGGAATGAATCAGAAATGAGCATCTTATCTGAGAAGTGGACAAAGTGCGGAATGAGGGTCTGATGTATGTGGAAATTTCAACACAAATCGGATGAAATTTATTGAACGAATAAATTCTTCGCTGTACAATATACTAAAGGGTTGTAGGCCATTACCTATACAGTAGTAGTACCTGAAAGAAATGACGAGCAGAGAAGTTGTAAAAAAAAGCATTGCTCTGGAATTATTTAAGCCATTAAACAAATATACATAAGCAAAATATTAAAGATTCCATACCTGACTCGTGGTAAAAATTATGAAATTGCTTAAAATAATATATATAAAACTCTTAAAACCTGCCTATTTTACGGGTCACTCACCTACAATGTATATATATTCTTAACTTAAGGTATGTATATTCGTAACTGACTGCAAAAAACAAATTTCTTAGATGAATCTTGATCATGGGCAAAACCAACAAATAAACAAAGCAAATTAACAACGGCGTCAATTTTCAAAAATTTTTTTCTAAGCCTATATTTAGCAAGTGCGAGAAAGAATACAAAGATGTCAACCAAGAAAAACGAGCTCACTATGTTAAATTAAAGCTTGCTACAAATGTTTACCATTTCCCATAAAGCCAAAGAAAGTTCCGATTGTCCAACAGTACAGTTTTTACTTATTAGCTCAAGATGATACCCAGGTTTCCCTCCAAGACAAATATAACGTTCTTTATTTTAGGTACGCGTGACTAATAAACTAAGTATAGGCAAATATGCAACAGATAAATTGGTCCAATAAACAATAAGTAAAGCTAAAATATAAATTTGAGCAGCAGATGCTTAGAGTTGCCTTTGAAGACAACATATGTTATTTATTTTGTTTAGAACCATCTATGATAGATGATTGCTTACCAGGTCTAGTTTCATTCAGAAATAAATGATCATGTGTTTGATTAGCGCGAGTTCCACAACATTATTGGCTCTTGACGATTACAAATAAGGAAAAGATTGAATCTCCTTTTTATGGTTTATTGAAATTGGTAAAGCTACCGGTATTAAATAAACGCGTTAAAGTAAACCATACAATTCTTTGAATTTATAAAAGTCCTTGCATTTCGTTCATAAATTGTAAATACGCGTCATCTTTAGAGGCGGTTTTGTTGGTATCTGTAATGGAGTTCATATTCTCACAGGCGTATGGTTTAGAACGGTTTTGATGCTTGCGACTTTCTTCACGTTTCACTCGCAAGGTTGAGGGTACGAAACGAGTAACATCGGCACTTAGATTTCTAAAAATAAATTGTTGACATATAAGTCAGTTATTAGGTACTTTTCGAAATTGTTATGTACCTTATTTGAGGCTTTGCAGATATAGTAGTAACGCCCTTGCTGTCTTTATTTTGATGTAATTGCTGGATACTTTTGTGATGATGAGGTAAACGTGGAGGTAGACCTGGAGGTGGTCCAGGGATCCGTATGCCTATCCGTGGGAGGTTACTTAAAGCAGGTGGACGTGGCCCTGGAGGTGGACCAGAAGGCATTCGGATGCCAAAACCATGCATACCTGGCGGTCGTGGAAGCGGCGGCCTAAAAAGCATAGGTGGTGCTAAGCCTGCCAAAGAGGGAACAGGAGGTCCTGGTATAGACAAATGTGCTTGTGTGCTAGGGGTGTTCGGCGCCAAGGCTACAGGAAGTGCTACTACAGTTGTCGTTGTCGCATTTCCAGTTGTACTAATTGACGGCTGCACTTTATTTTCGTTTGCCATGTTGGAATCTACCTCCTTATTTTTAACCCTATCTTCACTTGGCTTATTTTTCGAAATGTCGTCGCCTTCTGCGCTTTGAGAGATCTCTTTACTTGCAGCAGCCTCTTGTTCCTTTTTTTTATGAACGTTTTCCATCTCTCTCATGAATTCGTCAATGTTTTGTCCAGAAATGGCTAGCATACGTTGTTGTAATGAATTTGGTTTAGGCACCACCTTAGATTTTGGTGTGTACTTTTTTAAGACGACTTCCTCATCCTCGGCATCCGTATTGAGGTCGGGCATATCAAACAAATCAGGAGGTGGTCCGATTGGGACGCTTAAGGGATCTTTTTTCTTAACTTCTTCGAGCTTATCGAGAGTCTTGGTTATCTAAAATTGTGAAATAAAAGTTTCCGGAAAACATAGATGTAAGGAATGTTCAAACTTGTACATTTTCATTCGACTTCTTCAAAGTTCCTGGTGGAGCTCCTGGTGCAAAAGGGGGCAGCGAGAGTGCTATTGGGGGTGGAGGTAGGCGCTTAGGACCAGTAAAATTTATTGCGGCTGGAGTAGGCATAGCGGGCATTTGACTCGTGGAAGGTAAAGGAATTTCGTCAATTTGTACACTTTGCGCATGCTTCACACTTTCGTAATACTGTTGCTTCTTAAGTCGCTTCTTTTCATATTCCACTTCCTTGCGCTTCAGTTCAGACCAGTGCTCAGGGTCGTCGTTGTGCTTAAAGTAGAAGAACTTTCTTTTTTCAGCTTTCTTTTATATTGCGCTTTATACTCTCTACTTACATAGAGACGCATAACACGATCAAACGTTTCTTTTAGTTTCTTTCTTTTATCTCTTAGAACTTTCTCATTTAGTGGCGAAGGTTGCAAGACATTGTATTCTAGCGAAACGAAAATAGTTTTTCAATTTAAATTGCTTTTTATAATCATTAGAGAAATGAAGGTTTGTACCCATTTCATCAATCTTCTCCATTTCTTCAAGAATCTGACTTGGATCCTTATTTTTCAGAACAGCCGCTCGAACCATTTGACGTTGTTTTTTATTTTTTTTCAACTCTTTTTTTCGTGCTTCTTTTCCTAATGGATATTTATAAAAGCTTGCATATTAGAAATTACTTATATTAATAGATACCATTCACTTACTAGCTTGATCAGTAGGATTCATATATTTACCACTTTTAGTGGTATTTATTGAGCGGCGTCCCATTTTCCTTCAATTCGATATATAAATTTTCTTATTTTACTCAGTGCTTACCTAAATTGCTTTTAGCCAAATATAAGGACAGCTGTTCCTATCTGCTTATTTTAATTTGATATAATGTAAGCATACCACATAATCTTTAATTTCGGAAGATGCCACGTTATTAATATTTTGATTTCAACGGATTGAAGCAAACCGTTTTCCTAATGTTTACAAAAAAATTGAAATGTTAAGATGAAAACTTTGCAAAGTAAAAATGTCGAAATAAAATTTTTTTTACAGAGCCGCAAATGTGGACTAGAGTAAACCTAAGGAGATCTTAACACTTCTAGGAAAGAATATACGGCCAAGTAGATGGAGTATATAAATAATAAGACGTTTTCCGTCTTTTCAGGTTGTGGCCCCAAGTTTGTTGAGTTTTTACAAAACTTAATGGAAATCCACAAATAATATGGTTTTGCATGTATGCACACAAAAAAAAAAAAAAAAAGAAAAGAAAGCACAAAAAGAAATCGTGATGGTTTCATTTAAATTGTACAGTTATTTATCTAATTTATGTTTATCTTACACTAATGTTTTTTTTAATATTATGTGATTTTTAATTTTGGTTCATATTGTTACGAAAATCTCAAATCCAGTTAATTTCAGCTAAGTAATTTTCCCTAATAATAAATTCCCTAAAGAAACAAAACCCAAATGCGCATTCGCAGGCGCGTTATGCCGCTGCAGGCCGATGAAAATGATTAGAGGAAAAGCAGGCTGGGGCTAGAAATAAAACCATAAATTTAGGTATAGTATATGCTTGTGAGATGTATATAAATAGAATAGTTGTGAAAGGGAGAGTTAGTCGGGGAAGAATATAGAAGTCGAGAAGTTGTACGGCCAAAATAAATTGTGAATAATCCTATATTTAAGGAACGTAATTGTAAGTAAATGAATACAATTGTAAATCAAAGAACTTTGAAGTGTATTTCTCTTGATCAAAATGTCCACGATCCACTGATACGGATTATATCTTACAAAAGCGAATTTCATAACAATATCGTAAATTATTTTGCAAGAAGTAAAACAAGCAATAAAAACAAAAAAATGTTCTGGGTAGTGTTATAAAATTTAAGCAAGTTATCCAGATTAACAGAATTGTGGTGTTTACACAAATCTTTTGTTTGTGTTTGCGCTGATTTTTCATCTTTTGTTTTAAAACCATATGTCTTTGTTTACATTTTCTTGTATAACAATATAAAAGCGCGACTACTCATTGTGCTCACCACATCCGTCAAATTGATCCTCCTGACGATACTAGAAATTCTTCTAGGTACTAAGACGACATTTTTATCAAAGGAGAGATCCATGCTAATCATGACACCCAAACACTTGTGACACAAGACCTCTCCAACTTGAACGCCGTCTAAGTGAAATCGTAGAACAGAAGGACTGGGAACAAAATTAAACAAGATCGCTTTAGTCTTGGATGGATTTAACATAAGCCGATTCTCAACTGTCCACGACGACATAGATCCTAGGCAGTCACCCACAAATCGTTCAATGATCACATTAAAAGCGCAATCATTATTGAACAATAAGAACACATCATCTGCATATAAGAAAACCTCATATATCTCAAGCTCTCTCAGATCATTCACATATGTAATAAACAAGACAAGCTCCAAACCGATTCTTGTGGAATCTCAGCAAACAGTGGGAGGTAGCTAGACCTGAGACTTTTGAAATTGCGATCTATCACGAAGGTACGGAGAGATAAATTTGCAGGCAGTCTGTCAAAAATTGGGTTGCTCACTACGCTTACTACATAAGGTGGAATGGGGTAAAGGGTTAAAAGCGCGAAAGATATTAGATATTAGGCCAAAACAAGCAGCCAGCGAGTAATACGGCCATAATACTACCTGCGAAAGAAAAATGCATATATGATAAAATTATTTGCTTGACGAAAGTATAAACATAAGCAACTTGTCTTTTTGGTAGCTCAGTGCAGCGATGAGTAACAAAAGAAAGCGGGTTAGCCTTTATACTCTTAAAATACAGGATTATTAATTGTTCTCTACCTACAGTATTGCTGAATTCAATTAACATCGACCTATTCTGGCTGATACCGAGGCACAGATTAACTGCCTGCAAGTCTATATTAATACTACGAGAAGAGGCAAACTTCTGATACATTTTTCAGTCTCTCAGGCAAATCGTATATTATGATATTCGATTTGTTCGACATACAATGCATTTACTTCCGTCTCTAGAGTTGATACTGTACTAGCTAGATGGTGTTCAACTTTTTTGATCGAGTCGTTAGATTTATTAACCACCGATTTCAACTCATTGATGGGGGCGGTGAGTTGCATGCTCATATCACGCACAGCTACATCATTAGACTGCTTAGGTTCACGATTTATTTGCCGAACTGCGTTATCTATAGATAATTTGAGCGAGGATTTTCTCTAAAATTTTGAGTAATAATGGCGAAATTGAGATGGCCCTGTAGCCTTCCAGACGCCAGGGATTTTTGCCTTGGTCAGGTATGGGCGATCAAGGAGCTGTCTTCCAGTTACGTCAAAAAATACCAGAAGTAATAATAATAATAATATGTAGCTTATAGAAGTGTCTTTTAATATTCAAAGGATCGTTCTTCACTATTGGATAAGACAGTTTACATAATGAGAGGGTACATCTTTGAGAAATTATAGGAAAATAAGTAGGCGATTGTTCTCTTTTTTTAAAAAGAAATGAAATTTTTTAATATTTTTTTTACGGAGGTTTTGAAAAAGGCGTCAAGGTGTCAGCATATAAGAAAAAAAGAGAAACTAATATATATTTTTTTTAATCGATTTTACAATTTCCACGAGAACAGAAATAAAAAATATTTTAAGTAATTACGAATTTAAATTGTTAAGAGCCTGAAAAGAAAAACAAATTGGAGTAGTTGTGAAATCTTTGAAGAGCGCCATTTAACGTACCCCAAGTAAAAAATTTTTGTTCATCGGGAGAATGAGTCATTGCATTGAGACGTACACGCAAGGCTGTTGAAAAATTCAATATATCGTCACGCTTGCGCACAGTTGTACCGCTAATAATAAAATATTTTATTCTTCGTAATGAGAATGAATCTAATTATCTTAAAGTACAAGGATCCTTGATGAGCGAAAAAAATGTATATTCAGCTCTTCAGAATTCTAGAGAGTTTAAAAAAGTAAATACGTGGGCATCCAAATAGACCAAGTTCGCCTAATTATTTTGGGGGAAGAATAACGCTTAACTCCAATTAACATGAGTTATGACAGTTGAAGAAGAAGTGATGAAATTTGTTGATAAATAGTAAAAGGTTCTCACACCAGAGTAACAAAATTCACAAAATAGACATTACTCGTGTCAGAATTAGTTTTTTAAATAATTTAAAAAGAAAATGGTAAACATTCAGGGGCTAAACGTATATAACATATGCAGGTAAGGCGTAAAAATAATTTAACCGAACACAAAAGAAAAGAATGAGGATAAAGTGTAACCGAAAATTGAATTTAGTTACTAACACGAACATTCGATAAATTTAAATAAATTGTTGAGTTAAATTTTATTGTATGTTAATTAACATAGTTATTTATTCGATAACTTAATTCCTATTAATAGTTTATAATTCATATTATTTAATATAAATATTATAATGTTTGTTAACTAGTTTGTTTTTTATGATACTGACTGGCGAGGTAAGTTTATACACACTTTCACTCATAATCATTTAACATTATAAAAATTCTAAAGGGCGAATTTCTATTGTTGATCCCCCGAATTGAATTTCGCCGACGCAACCAAAATTTATTATGAGCCGTATGCTACAAGATATTACGGTTTGATCAAGCTCCAACACGTCGATAGTATCAACTAATTCTGGGAAAAGGTAAGTAGAATGTGACAGACAGAAGTTATTAAAATTGCGTTTGGATGTAATAACATCGACAAACTGAAAATCTTATCAGAGCTCAGCAAGCTTCAAAACTAGGCAATTCCGAAATTATTTCATGTGGATTAGGGATATCCCTACCAGATGAATTTGGGATAGAAAATGTTAATGCTATTGATTTCGCTCAGTTATTAACCTGGTTCCACAGAACGTGACAGTACACAAAAGGGTTAAGAGAAGACAGAAAGGCTGCCCAATTTTGCTCTCTCTCTCTCTTGACTCCCGTCGTTCCGAGAACGATGCGTTTTGAACTTCATCCAGTCCTTTGACCTCAGAGATATCAGTTTAGCATTATTAAAGTAAATAGGCACGTTTTTTATAGTGTTCTATTAGTTGGGATCGATTTAAGTAAATGGTGATCATCACTCGGATGTCTAATTTGATTAATCAAATTTTCATCGATTCATTCATTTCATTTCATCCTTCCTTTTTACACTGATGGTCGTGAGAGGATAGCCGCAACAAATAGTCACAGATTGAAAAAGCAGTCTACAAGTAGAAGTCACATGTGAAGAAACAGTATACCGTTGATGTATGATATGAGGAACATCACTTTTGGCAAAAAGAGCGCCTCTTTATTATTTCGTGTTTACTTGGTGTGGGTATTCGTTCGTTATAATATGGATCTGTGTTTTTGTATTTTGAATGCTTTCTTATACTACGAATGCAGATTTTGGTCATCAACAACAACAACAACACTCGATAACAGTGACTCACTCATGATGATTAAGCATAATTGCGCGATTGTTAGTTATGTCGAAGTAGCTTCATGCTCCAGCTGAAGAACATAGCAATATGACAACTACGTTAGGTTTCTGTATTGCAATTAAAACTCCAAGACGTACTTGCGGCGTAAGGTGCGCTGGCTATTACATTGAAACAGGTTGGAGCCCAGATTAGACATGAAAATAAAGAGTATAATTATCGAGAGATAGGTTTGAAGTAGAATTCAGAATTAGCTGCGGTTCTTCGGTATGTTGCCACTGTTATGAGAAGATTTAAATCTGGGAACTTTACGAAGGCTTACCTGCAAGAGGTAATTTCAACTTCCTGCGGGTCAACCATATCCGGTAAAGGAGAGACCGGAAAATCATTTGAAAGTTGCAGATCCAATGTGTGAAGTAAAGGTTGCATGTGGAAATGGTGACGTGTCGTTTATTTTGTTTGTTGGCTTAGTGTTGTTATCGGAGGAAATTTTATTATTTTCAGCTGTTCAGGTTGTGTATTTAAGACTTGAAGCAGAAGATAAATTATTAGTGCATGAAGATTTTTGGTTTTTTAGCTTTTTACTTGAAATCTTATTATTGTGCGCTATTAGTTGGGTGGTTCGTGATTTGGTTGGTGGGTTTTTATTAAGTGTAGAAGAAATCGCTGTTGCTGCATAGTTTCTGGAATAGGATATAAAACTGTGCTTGTAAATAGATTTGATGGTGGAAAGTTCGTCCCGTTGACAATTTGTGCAAAAAATAGCTTTGGTATTTGTGGTTGAATGACGTGTTCAAAGAGATGTGAGTTAATGATGTCCCATGATTTCGTTTCAGGGAACTAGGACATTTCGGATCATTAGAAGTGCGCGTATTTATATTGCAGTTAACGCAAAATTTTCTATCACAAATACCACGTGAAGTTAATCGGACACATGGTCCGCAAAGAGTTAAACGTTTGCAGTATTTTTAGTATGACCAAGTTTGCCACTTATGGTGCGTTTAAGAAGATTATGTACGGTAGGTTCGTGAATACAGTACGTAGCGTAGCTAACCCTTATACACAGCGATCGATGGATTTTAACGATTGTGGTGACGGATTTCATTCGAGTTGATTTTTAAAGGAACAGTGTCAATGTGCTTGGCTGTTATGAATTTTTCTGCTGCCTTTAGTTTATTGGTCTTAATTAGCAAATCGCTACTTTTTAACTTAGTGACTTCATTTTAATCTTTGGAGATATAGTCAAGAGTAGTAGCTAGTTTTGGTTCGTTCAGTTTATCATTGGTGAGGGTTGATGCTACAAGAGATATTAAGATAGAGAATCATACTTTTGAAGATTAGCAGAAATAGATGGTGATTCATCAAGATCAAGTTGAAGTCGTTCGGTGTGTTTCGTCCCTTCCTACCACATTAGATATCCGTTGATAAAACGCTGAACTGGACGTAATTCAGGAGGTGAAACGCTTTCGTCTTTAATAACGTAAAAAATGCTTTCAATTTCTTTTTTAGTGAAAAATACTTGCTGAAAAATGTAAATAAACTGAGACACAGTTATTAACGAGAAACGCTAGGAGACTGCATCCCTATACGAGAACCCTTTGGTTAGCTTAAAATCAAAACAACGAATACATTGTTAGCGCGGCAAATGGCCTATCAATGAGAATAATTCTTAGAGGGGATGGATTCGAACAAATGAAGGGTTTATCGCTTGAGAACATATGGCCTACATAATGTTGGTATTGTATGAGTACAATTTTAAAGCAATGCGTCATATTGCATTATATTGTAATATTAAATTTAAAACAGTAAATAATTTAAGCGGTATGGTAACTCCACGTGTTTAAGTTTACGCCTGATTTCAATTTACCGATTTTCATATTTTTCCAATTATTAGTTTTTGTTGGTTTTAGGTATTGTATACCTTTGTTAAGTGATGCAATTATGGAGGATCACTCATCTTACAATTTAATCCAAGCCGTGGACCCAGGAAAGATAAACATTCCCATCAGTGATCGTAACGTTTCCTATTTTCTTAGAATGGAAGTTTCATCTTGATTTGGCCTTTATTAGGTTTTGCTAAACTAACGCTGTCTTCTATCAAAAAAAATGCTGGTGAACTTAAACACTTACATCAGGAAAAGAGAGAAAGCGCGAGTCGCAACCTCATGGAACAATTTTCGTTGGTGCAGTCAAACAACGAAAACAATCCGTTACCAGGAAGTGGGAGCCTAACGAGAAACTCTGACAGTGAGCTAAGCTGCATGGAACCGCTGTACTTTACAGAAAACTCCACGCAGGAACGGGAATCGACCGAAATCTGCTGCCCGCTTGATCAAAAATCTGCGGATATTCTGAACAATACGCCACAAACTTATTTTGTAAATGAGGATGTTATTTATCTTTCTTCCGAATCCTCTTTAGCACCCACAGGAGAAATCGAACAATTAACAGAAGAAGAAGAAGATGTTATTACCGTTTCAGATTCTTCTCACAGTAAAAGTGATCCCAGCAAAATGCTAATATCGAGTTTGACGCTGAATCGTAGCGCAAATAGGAAATTTTTTTCCAGCAATGTCGATAAGGGAAAGGCTAAACACATTGAAGCTTTCCTTCGCGACGTATCAATAGAACGAAAAAAGACAGCAAATCAAAAAAATGACATAAAGGAAAACACATTCCTTGATGGATTGCCATTAAAAGTTGGATCAAAAGAAGAAGCAAAGCAGGCGGAAGCCAAAGGAATAGCCGCAGCTGACACAGAATCCATGACAATAGAAGATAGCTTTAATGCTAATCTTCCTATCACTCAAGGTAAGCTAAAACGGTATATAATAACTTTAGATGGTAACGATTCGATGGGCTCTGACAGCTGCCTCTTTCTATTAGAATCAAACAAAAGTGTTAATGTGGAGCGATCAAAGGAAAAGTCCTCTTCGAGTACATCTAACTTAAATCAAATGTCTTTAAAAATGAAATTAAAAGAGATGAAGATTGGAAGCAAAAGTCAACTAATAACAACAGCGGACACTGAGTCAATGACACCAGAAGAAAATTGCAACATTCATTTTCCCAACTTTGACAACGAACGAAAAAAGCGTATGCAGAATTTAGATAGTACCGATTCGATAACATCTGCTGATTATTCCTCCTTTGAAGTACCCTCAGATGAAAACAATCAGAAGCGATCTAGTAGATGTGCTAGGTTCAATTTATCTAGTGGAGACAAGGTCATTCCGTCTGATAAAGAAAATAATTTAATTGATTATTCTGTAATTGAGGAAAGTATAAATGTTAGTTCTTCTTCAGAAAAAGCTTACCAATCATGGGACGAATCTGTCATTATATCAGAAACTGATGACGAAACGTTCAATAATCATCAATCAACCTCGCGGCCATATAATAATGAAAGAGAAAAAAATTCTTCAATATTTTCCAATATATGTAAAACTAATAGTGGAAGTGAGAGAAGTGATTCCGTTGTAAAAATAAACGAGGTATCAAATAAGTTTGGCAGCATAAATATTTCTGCAAGAATTAATATTAAAATTCATATTCCTTCCGATTCATCTGATACGAGTGACGCTGAAAGTGCATCCCGTATTGCCACAAGTTCTTTTGAAAACGATTTGTCCACATCGAATTATGGGACTGAAAATCGGAAAATGAATGTAGCAAAAAGTTTGGACAATACCTTAAATTCTAAAGAGGTGGAAAACGAAGTGTATCTTCCTGAAGCAGAAAAGCTTTTAACTGAGTTATATGGAAACTCTTGGCAAACTCCAGATATTTTGCGAACACTAAAACGCAGCAGTTATCGAAAAAGCAATGAAACATTACAAGGAATAACGATGCCACAAGGTAAAGGAAGATCTAATTGTGATTACTTTGCAACGTATGTCGAAAAAAATCAGTTATATTCAAAGCAAGTTGGTTGATTTTACTCTTTGTTAATCATGTGTTAATTTGTTTATTTCGAAGTTTTTTCACATTTTGTTATTTAATTTTAAAGTTCGCAGAAATATTTATCCTGGCTTGAATTCGACTGGCATTAGTACGCCCAACACTTCGAGCAACACAAGAGTTGTCTCAAAGGAAAGTGGTAAGGCTGTTGAAAAAAAGAAGAAAGAAAGTCCAATCTGGAAACAATGTTTGACGAATGGTAGTGATTTAGAGTGTACAAATGACGCTTCAGATGACGATGATGCAGACGAAACTGAAACTGATGAAGATTTGATAAGTTCTAAAATGAAGAACCATTCGAAAATGAGCAGTAAAGTTCGAACTCAAAATTCAACTAGGCGTGCAAATAAACACGATAATATTATTTACTTGGATTTAACAAAGCATGAAGTTGAAGTTGAAGAGGGGATCGTGCATAGTCCACCCGTCGATACAGATAAAAAGTTTATATCAAATTTGGAAGAAATCTTGCGTACATGTCGACATAATGAGAAACCTAAATTGCCATGCACTCCGCAATCGTCAAAAACAAAACGAAAATTATTCACTCCTTGCCATGACTATGAGGACTATGAAAGTGGGTCTGAAAAACAAACCCCGCTTAGTAAAGACAAGGCTGCTTTAAATGACGACGGCGATCTTTTACATGATCTTGGAATTGAGCCTTTTGACAAAAGAGGGATCTCGAAAAGGTTACCCTTAATTAACAAGCAATTGCAGTCGGTGAAAAGCGGCAAACCCATTTTCGAGATACCGTCTCAAGAGTACAATATACTAAAAACGTCTAAAAATTGCAAACAGGCTTGTAATCCTCCTGTTCTTAGCGCTCTTCAAACGAAAAGCTTATCCCAAACAGGAAAAACTTTGGCTTTCACTCCTCCTTATAAGTACACTTTTCTGAAATCACTAGACGGTATTTATTTTATTCTACATTATCTTTTAATCTTAGCTCAATGCATTGTTCAATTTTAGTACGTGTTAGCAAAAGCTTTTGTCATCCAGAAGCTCTGTGCTATCTTGAAAATTATCATACGCAAAAGCAGGAACTCTCTAAGGTTTTATACGATTTATTTAATGAAAAAGTATTTAATAATAAATTAGAGGTCCAAGTGATATGGAATAAAAGACTCTGTAGTACTGCTGGACGATGCTTGAATAAGAAAAAGTATGAAATAATATAATAAAATAGTAATAAAATGCCTTCAATAAACTTGCTATGATTGCAGAGCGGGAATAAGACTAAGTTTAATCGAGCTAAGTGATAAAGTATTGACCAGCGCTGACAGACTTCGCTGCACGTTAATACATGAGATGTGTCATGCGGCTGCATGGATATTTGATGCTGCAAAAGGCCATGGTGCCACTTGGAAACAATGGGCTTGTCGCGCAAACTTCATTTTCCCAGAACTACCGAAAATTGGCGTGTGCCATCAGTATGATATCGAGTACAAATATACGTATAAATGCTGCCTATGTGGCGCAAAGTAAGTTTCGAACATAATACAATGCTCGAATACTTTAAATCTTCTGTATTTCATTATTTGTACAGATCACACGCTCACTCCACTTCAAGAAAAGTCGAAAACATAAGATGTTCATATTGTCGCGGAGCAATCGAGATATTTTTAAATAAAAAAGATAAAGAAGGTAATATAATACCCACACCTTTGAGGGAGCCGACTGGTTTTGCTAAATTTGTTAAAGACAATTATAAAACGTACAAACAAGTTGATCGAAAACACTCAGAAATTATGAAAATTTTGAGCACTGAATTTGCCGCCCTGAAGATAAATCAAAAGAATTAAGAACAGATAAAACTTATGCTTTTAATATACGTCTCTTAAAATTAATAAACTATACGTTTAGAATTACAATGTTGTTTTAGTTGCCAAGTATGAGATAATTCCCGGTACAGGACATATTTTTTATAAAACAATTTTATAGCGTTCACCTGCTCAGAGAAAGGCAGACTTCTTGATATCGTAATTAAGCATTTATCAAATACGGCGTAATATGTATACAAACTTATATCTGCAAGAGATGATGCAATTTAATGAAATAGAAATTTGAAACCTACCCGCTAGCGTCATAGTTTTGCACAGGAATTCCTGTAGTAGAATGAAATTTTTTGTAGTATTAGATTATACTTCTAATGCAAACTCTAATAATCGCTTTCGTAGATCAAGTTTTGCGGGACGAATGTTTTCCATAAAACGTATTGAAATGTTCCGGCTGTTCTCACTTAACCACAATGTTCAATAAAATCGGCAATTTGTTGATTTAAGCTACCTAGTTATCAAAATAAAGAATTAATTCGAATTCTTATGGCAGTTATGTACTTTCAATAGAGCATGCGATAGCAAGATTTTGTGCATGTTATCAAATGACGTGTTGATATGGGTTTTGGTTGGGTTTTGCCGGAGTTACGTCACTACCAACACTGGTGACAGTGTGTAAACCAATTTTTTGATAGTTACGCAGTAGTTACTTGGTAATATTTGAATTAAACCTGTTTTTTTCGAATTTTATGCACACCATATTCATTGGTCAAAACCTTCGCAACATCCATAACTCAGCTTTGGAAATTATATAAAGCATATTTACGTTCTAGTAAGTCTGGATCGATCCAGGCATGTTTACTTATGTAAAATTCTTTTGTGCATATTTTGTTCATTGCGAATTTGAAGGCGCCGGCTTCAAATTTAGTCAATAAAACATTGAAAACTTCCCAAAACTTCCGATATCACTCGCGAATGGAGCGCTGTAAGCATTTTTCGGAATTTGTTCTGTAAAGTAGTTTCGAAACGATGAAGTTGAATTTAAGAAGTGTAAGATTGTAGCTACTAATACCGCCACTTAACCCAAATTGTGAAGGGGGATGATGAAATTAGATTCCAATTATTAAAAAGGGTAAGTATTTAAAAAAAAAAGTTTTTCAAATATTTAAGAAATGGCAACGCTACACAGTGAAATTTGTACAAATTTGAATTTAAAAAAAAAAATTAATTTGCCATCAAATCTATTTCTATATCTAGAAAATCATGTAGCAGGGTTTAGAAATATTAAAGTGAGCTAGAATTCAACTGGCTCAAAACTGTCAAGGACAAAAATTTTTGCGGGTAAAATATCGGCTAATGTTTCACTAAAGCGGAACAATTTGGTCTTCTTTGCACATGAGAAAAAATGATTTAGGATGCAAAGAAGAGCTATATCAAATGTTCTTTGTGATCACATTATAACAATAAATAATTACACCACCTACTCCACATCAGCATGAACGAGAAGGAAAAATGAACCGAATAATAGCCCTGACAATCATACAATTCTCTTGAACGTATAATTTCCCTATCACAGAACCATCTTTTTCCTCCTATCAACAGTAATATGGACTTTAGAGCTGTCAGGTCATCAAATTCCGTACGTAGTGTATTAGAGCACGCTCTATAAAAAAGAAGTAAAAAAGTTATATTCGAAATGGACCGAATCTCGTATACTCACAACTTTGCTTTTCGCATTTTACTCTCCAAGTTCTTTTATTCGCTTCTGCTCTAGTCAATTTGGGCCATTTTTAATATTAATCTGCGGTCACAAACAAAGTCGATATCTTTATTTTTGCCATCAGGATAGTGCCAACACTAAACGCTAAACAGACACACAGACTGACAGACAAGGTTTGATCAATTCAAAATTTCACGCTAATCAAGAATATATATACATTATAGGACCTCTGAAACCTCCTTTCGGGCTGTGCACGCATTATGAAAAAAAAAAACAAAATGCTTAGCGGTGAGCATAAAGATTAAGTACAATTGTAATAGAATTCTTAATGTTCATGTATAAGTCGGATGTTTATATAAATTACCAATAAACTGCTGCTGCTGGTTTATCCTCTTTCAGCAATAAAAACGCTAAATGATGTCTCCGCAATGGAATCGTGGTTGCTTGACAAATAATTAAAATTGTGACATCGACTTATTGCAAAAATTCCTTATGATGAATGGGATGACGACATGAATGTTTATCTTACTTTACCTACACCTGCGCGTCCATATGAACCCGATGTCAAAACCAGCTGTTTCTCGTTGTATTTTCATTTTTCTTGATTTATTTTATAATCAGTGTGCGGCCTGCAACCTGGATATTTTAATGTAATATAATGTGTTAGGACGATTAAACAATAGAAGTGAAAAAACACAAACCTTTCTAGGGACTCTCAGAACATGCCTCGCAATATTTTAAAAAGCAGTTTATATGACGCTGGATTTAGTATTATTTTTCAAGTAAACATACTTTTTATTTTCTAAATAATAGTATAAAACTATTTGGATTTTTCGCTTCTGCAGATTCTCTGTCGTATAGTCACTTTTGGCATTAATGCATTCATTATTCGTCATGTAGGTCGCGAAGTTTTAGGCATAATGAACGTTCGCCTATTATTGTTGGAGAGTACTGTGTTATTTTTGTCGCGTGAAGCTGTAAGTAGAGCAGCGCTAAGTGCAACATCGCAACAAAGGGAAAAATGCACATGGTCACAACTTATCAATCAACAATGGATAACGTGAGTATCGAGATAATGTGATATGAGAATATATATACGTTTCCATCGCATCGTAGAGTTATCATTTGCATTTTTGTGTGCTTACCGTGCTGTTACGTGTGGCTTCATTGTCTTTCTTCAGTGGATATCGTATATTTGGACCAGTATCGATTTGCATGCTACGCTGTACTACTCTCTTGTGTTATCGAATTGTGCGCAGAACCTCCAGTTTTTGTTAGCCAAGTGTTTTGCTTCGTTAAACTGAAAATTGGTCTAAATACTTTGCATATATTTGTTCGTTCTGTTATTTTTCTAACGATTGCTTTAACAGATTCTACGGCAGCAATTTATGCCTTCGCCGTTGCTCAGTTAGCCAGCGCAGTGACTATTGTTCTTAGTCATTACGGTTTTTATGCTTTCTATATAAACAGCTTAAATCGATATAAAGAAGACAGAAATGCAAGCAGCAGTTGTTTTCTTAAATCAGATTTGAGAGATTGGAGAAAATATTTGTTTGAAAATATGGATGACTTTCCTTTAAAGAAGTTGTCGGACTTCCTTCCAGGTGTAATGAAAAACGAGGTATTAATATCGATGCATGTATGCGTAAAACTATGGTAAACAAAGCTTACATATCTGTTCATTTTCAGAGTAAATTTTTAAACTCCGAACTACAAATTCTTACTTTGAGTTTTCTTAAGCAGGCGGTCCTGAAGCAAATTCTTACGGAAGGTGAAAAATACGTTATGTCTATGAGTCCAGTTTTGAATTTTGAACAACAAGCAATGTACGACGTTGTTAACAATTTAGGAAGCCTAGCAGCCAGGTTTATCTTCCGTCCTATTGAAGACAGTAGTTATTTTTATTTTACACAGACAATATCCCGCGACGTTGCTTTGAGCGATCAAGACAAAGTAAATCTAGAAAATGTTAAATGCAAATTAAACATGATAAGCACGCTTTGAGATCATTTCAGACCAAAGTTCAGGAAGCAGGTATTGTTTTGGGGCATCTTTCGATGACAGTCATCTCTATCGGTTTGTTAGCTTTATGCTTTGGCCAAAGCTATTCACATACACTCTTATATTTGTATGGCGGTGCCGATTTTATAGCAGGCGGGCTTCCCGAGATACTTCTGAAGTGGCATTGCTTAGCGATTTGTTTTTTGGCTATCAATGGCATAACAGAAGGTTATATGTTTGCCACTAACACCAGCCAAGACATCGATAAATATAACTATTTATTGGCGGTATTTTCAATAAGTTTTCTTTTGTTATCCTACCTTCTTACGACAATATTTGGTCCTGTGGGATTCATATTTGCTAACTGTATTAATATGTTTTGCCGTATATGTTACAGGTAAGATTATACCCGTATCACGAACAAGAATGAACACGCACAATTTTTTTTTGTATCGTAATTTTCAGCGCCCGGTTTATATGGCTGCAATACAAACCACTTGGCATAAATCCTTTACGAGATTTTGTCCCTAGCAAAATGTTTTTATTCACTGTTTTCGGCGGAGGCTTTCTATGTAACTCTGCAATGGTAATTAAATTGAATTAATTTAAGATGTATAAAAATATTTTTGTTTTTTCCATTTAAGAAATATGGCTTTTCCATTACCGTTTTAGTTTAAAATTTCGATGACGTCACATTTAATGCTTGGCTTTGGATGCGTGTTTATTGTTTTAATGACATGGGCATACGAAAATAGGGAACTTTTAGAAGTTTGCTGGACATACCGTAAAAGGCTAAAATTTGAATAAATTTGTTTTTTTTTCTATTTTTATCCAATACATACGTTTTGACGAATGCCCGTACATTTTTGTTATATTTTAAGAAGTTCGATAGATATAAAGATATGCGATTTTGTTGTTGTGGTATACATCAGAATCGGGATCGGGAATTTCCACAGACTATGAAACGCAAATGCGAAACATAATGTGAATGTCTGGGTAGGCTCATTGACATCAATTTGTAAAAAAGCAACTAAACATAATCAACTGTTACTGTGACGGCTTTAATTGAGTCGTTGTCGATTAGTCAAAAGCGGGTTACTATGAATGCAGAATGACATATTATATAAATAGGAGAGTATATGGGGGACGGAGTGTATCATGCAATACGTTTCTTTTTTTTACTAACAAACATTGAAGAGCAAAAGTAGTTCATTTAAGATAGTATGTTAAAAACTGTGTTAAAGGCTTAAAGCAGCTTTTGTGTTTTTAAGGACCAGTTTCTAAAGTTGTTGTATCATCAACAAATTTCTGTATTTTTATATTTTTCGCTCAAAGTTTCAATTTGCACTCCTTAAGCTTCTTATTATGTCAAAAATATTGCCGTAACCAAAGCAACATTTGCGAACCTCTCAATTGTCAAACTGTTTACTGTTTATAACTTAATTTGCTTGTAATTCATAAAAAAAATGCGTTGAAGATATTAGGAAATCGGTTAGCCCAGGTAAAATAAAAAACGTACGCTTGTAAACAGTCAATTTTCGCCACAAGCTTGCATATGAACGATCGAAATTTGGGAATAAATCATCAACTGCTCTCTTATTTGTTTTGCCTTCAGTTTTATGCAATGCCATTATATTCGAGATCTCCCACTCCCATGCCCGCATTCTGTAGACATAAACAATGGATAACCAATAAATGAACGCACTAAACTGAAAAAGTTTTGAACATTTAATTTTGTTCGTATCACAAGTTACTCAAATTCTGATGTATTACTGTCGTAAATTTTTTAAAGTATCGCCTTTCGCTTTCGCATTACCGCCAGTCCAAATCCAGCAATGCACATGTAGTCAATTATACACACCTGCATAAAAACCAATGTAAGAGCTATAACTACTTTTCCCATTGAAGTAATGGAAAAAGCCTTAGATTACCCAAACAGTATTAGATTAGATAGAATTGACGATATCATTACAGGTAGATATTCCTCTAAACATTGGACTACATCTTAAATCTAAAATTTAATACAATTTTGTTATTAGATTATCAAAAATGAACGTGACAGTTTTATGAATTATGGTGTGAGTATGATTCTCTAAACAATAGCAAATAAGTTCACAAGTAATTGCGATTTATACAAAAAAATAAAATAATAAGAGAAAAATAAATGGGAAAAGAAGTACAAACGATATGGTGGGCCGCTGTACACCATTAAATGCTCTACAGTCACTTCGCTTTATACATTTATTGATGTAAGGACTTTTCCAAGTAAAGCATCATATGGATCGATAAAGTGGCACAATCCGTACTGTTTTCGATAGCGTTTGTGGTTTAGCCAAACCATATCGGTATCCCAAATTTAATGAAAATGTCTCCATAATTGTGAACAGAATAAGAATATTAGACGGGCAAAGAAGCTTAGATCGATTCAGAAAGTAAATCTGAATTGATCGGCTTAGTAAAAGATGGGCTGTCTTAAGTTCTTCTGGCTGTTGTATACATTCGTTAAAATTTAATATACCGTTGTGCCGCTGGTATTATAAGATATAACCGTAAGAACTAAATGGGAAAGTTACACTTGAATACAAGAATGACCTAAAAAACATCAAAGTTTCATCGTTTTCGTGCAAGCCCTTGCTTTATTGATATACAAGCAATTGCGAACACATAGATACAAAAACTGCCATATCTCTTATCTCTTTTCAATCACTTCATGATTGTTCTTCAATTAGTTCAAGTTGATATAGAAATATGGAAATTATTCTTGAAAAATTTCCTAAATGTTATTTATGCAATTCTTCTCACATCACAACTCGTAGTAATAGCAATTCATAAAATTCGATTGAACGATATATGAGGGGATCTCCTAGTTAATCGTCCAATTTGGCTTACGTTAACGTTTGTCTCGATTGACGTTTCGTCCAAGAGAGGAAGAACTGAAATCTTAAACTCACTTAAAGCAAAATTATTTAAAATTTTTTCACAAATTGAAATAATTTCATATAATTCATATAATTTCATATCTTTCTTTGTTAGGAAAACTTTGAATTATGGGTTTCAGTTTCGAATTTTAATATTTATCTTTTTATTTTATATAATATATCAATACATTAAGAGATGCGTTTACCTATAAAGAATGTAAAATTTTTTAAAATGATTTGTTCAATCCAAATTTTGTATCATATAAGTAAAGGCCAGCTTTCTAATTTTCACTAAACATCTTAAAGCGGATTTGTTCTTTATATCTTTTATTTGAATACAATTCAATATGAAAGTGCAGAAGATACGCTGGTTCACTCATTCGACTCAAAAGATCCAGGATATCAAAAGCTCACTGCCATGGTTTTCATCCGGTCGAAAACCTTACACATAAAATCTTTACATGTGTACACGCAAAAACACGTATATATACCGATTAACTCACCACCTCATTCAACCTATGCTTGACTTTTCGGTTTATGAAACATTCTTCATTTTATGCGGGCTTATGAAAACATGGGTTCCGTGTAGTCATCCAATCATTTCAATAAATATTAGGAATAAGTGAATCGTCGATTTTTATACAACAACGTGTCGCGTTAAAAAACGAGAAAGTAGAGAGATAAAAGAAAAGATATTAAGTTAGATAGAAAAATCGGTGGTTTTCATTAAGGCAGTTAGCTCCTTCACATGAGAGTAATCGTGAGCATAGAAAACATTAAATAAGTTGTTGTAGATACCAAAAAGGGAAAAGTTCTGTCTGATATTGTCCCAGCTTTTGCATTTGAAAACAAGATGATCAGCGAATTCTGATATCAGGCATAAGTTGCAAGTGTCACTGTCAAATGCTCGGGTCATTTTCAGATAAGGTTTGCCATAGGTATGGTTGGCCATAAGTCTATAGAGGACTTTGATCTCCCAAGAAGAGAAAAGAGAGTCCAGTAGAGGTTTAAACGACATGGATCGAAATACTTTGTAGAAAATAGGATCCGCTTTTCCCGTTGCGATGTTTATACATTACTTATTAAGTTCGCAGATGATGGTTTTTCGGATTGAACCATCAAGTTGTGCTTCGCGTGCATAAAGGTTAACTTTTTCGTTGATACAGAAACCGCAGTGATCAGGAATCCAGACAAGGTGGCTTTGCCTAATGAAGATGTTGTTCAGGATGCCATGAATGTCATAGACATATTGATTTCAAGGGTCCTTCTTTTTAATGAGGAGCAGGATAGATCCACTGTCAGAGAAAATGACAAACTTTGTCTTCCAATTCGACAGAGCATGATCGACTGCCTATATAATGGCCAATAATTCGATGAGGGTGGAGGGTAGAGTATCAAGCATTTTGATTTTGCAGATTGCGTTGAGGCAATATTTGACAACAGCAAAAGTTGGTAATTTGGCTTGGAAAGTTGTTTTTATATTCGCGATTTAAGTTTCCTGAAATCCATTGAACAGGTTGTTAAGAAGAGATTTGCGCGATATGAAATTATTGATATCTTGGATACTGTTATTACGAATACCAAATCTGATGGGCGAGTGATGGCTGTTGCCCAAAAATTTGCAATGCCCCAGTTGAAAGAGAAAATTGATAAGTTTGTGAAGGTGAGATTTAAGGTACTACCTGAAAAGAGGAGATTGGCGAAAAAAAGGAAGTTCGGCGAGCCGTCATTAAGGCAACGAAAACTTGTAGAACGCATTACATTAACAAAAGCCTTGCCTCTGTTCGACGTTACTGCGTCACCAAAGAGAGGATGGCATTAATGGCATTGAAATCGCCGGCGAAAAAAACATTCAGAAATCTATCGAGGAAACCAATCAGTTTGTAAATATCCTTTCGATGTATATCCGACGCGGAAAATAGACTGACACAATAACTGTATGTTTGAACGAAGATTTGAAGATCTAATAATAACTACGTCCGCAGACGATGCATATGGCATAAGTCTCCATGATATACCTTTTTTTACCACCGCCAATGCTATCATCTTTCCATTTGGTGGCAGGTGCGTAATTAAATAATTTTAAGTTTGAGACCGATTCATTAGAAAGGGAAATTTCGCTGAGAATATAGACATTGATCTTATTGGAGTTCACAAAAAAAAATCAAGAGAGGAAAAATTTCGCCTGAAATTTTGCATGTTGTATTGGGGGAAGGATGCCATGTTGGGGTGGAGGATAACATCGAGACGGAGCTCTAATAGCTTTGCTGTGGAACATCAAAAGACGAGGCGTAAGTATTTATTTTATCAAGGAACGAGTCTGTCTGCTTTGTCTCGTAAGCAGATTTAAAGGCATTGAGGATATTGGCTAGAAGGTATTCCACTAGTGTGGGGCGTTGGGTCGGGGGTATTAGATTTAATCTTGGTTATTTTGTTATAATTCCGTTGCGTAACAATCTTATTGACCTCTTCATGAATCTCTCCAATGTTCTCAGCGAAAGAAGCTAACGGGAGAGCTGGGAGGTTGCTGTCGCATGCATTTGAATCAATGAATTCATAATTATTCTGAGAGTATTTTCAAGAGAGAGTTTTCTATTGTCATTATCATATTGACTTGTTCTTCTTCCTTCTTTCTTGTAGGGCACGAGTATTGTGGTAAGAATAGACACACAGGAGACATTTCATGATTCATTCGTGCATTTCGGGGAGCTTTTACATTTAAGATAACGTGAGTTTTTAGCTTGCAGAACTTCACTATTTGACCAAGCTGAACACATTTAAACCATTGTCTCAAACCCGCTATAAAGAAGCTGACGTATAGAATGCATTGCCGAAAGACATGGTTTTTGGTTTTGGGCTTTAAAGCCGATTTTGACATTCGCGGTTGGTGCATAGGTTGTATCGTTCTCAGGCGGTTTGCGATAGAACGGATCGGAATCGATGAGGAAGCATTTTTCCCAAATTTTTCGGTGAAGGACTTAAGAATGCATGCTTCAAAACTTTTTTGGGCAAAGTCGTTATTTAGAATAAAATTGTTTGCATTGGATATCGAGTTAAAAATGTGCTTGGTCTTATCATTGCCAATCACTTCCATGATATTTAGACCAGTGAACTATTTTATTTGCACATGATTTCACGGCTTTGAGAGAGCGTTTCTCGCAGCTGTCTCGCTTGTTTGTTAAAAACCTTCAAGTATTAAGCATAATGAGCAGCCGTGCAACCATATTGTATTACAGGAAAATGTATGCAAAAACATAAGGTCTTAGAATTAAATAGAAACAAATTTGTCTGAATATAACAAACAAATTAAAAGAAATAACAATAAGGAAGTTAATATAAACGAAAACAAGCTTGTTTATTGATTAATGATGAAAAGGCTGATTAGATAAAAAATCTAAACAAACAAGGAAATAAGGAGTAAGACCATTTTTTTAAATATGTAATGTTGATGGACTTTTTTGAGTCAATTCGACATGGTTTGAGTCAATGTATGTGGATGATCGTGGGAAATTACAAGAAACTATGAGGATGGACTCGGGCAATTTTGATATGTTTTATGTATTTCCTAAAGATCAACGTAATAAGTATTCAATGCGTTCGCCAATTTCAGCTAAAGGTAGGGTTTTTTTTACACTCGTGTATTTTTATAAGAAGAATACATTTAAATTCATTCGAATGGATTGTGATTTTTTAGATATTCAGCGCATGACGATAGTTTGCAAAATCTCTCACACTTGAATAATTTTTTATAAAATTTGGTCTGACATTTCTTTATAGTATTATTAGGAAACTATGATGCAAATTATATTTTCACACATTTCAGGAATGCCGCATTCGGGCTTCGACTGTTTAGTAACAAATAGGACACTATACGAACATTATACAGAAGTCAAATGTTGAATTCGAGAAATTATTATGTTAATCTCTGCCTAAAATTTTATGACACCATCGAAAGATCAA